TGGTAAACTGTGGTCAATGACATGAGACAAAGTATATGTGAACTGCTGTATGGAAAGTGAATTTGCTCTGTAAATCTTCACACAAATCACAATAAAAAAAACCTTTAGTTTGTTGTTGTTGTTGTTGAGAACATATACAGCAAAACATACATCAGTTCAACAGTTTCCACCTGTACAATTCAATGACACTGACTACTGGGTGAGCACCCCTTCTTACCCTCCTGAGTTGTTCTTCATTAACTTAAGTTCGCTGACCCCCTAAGGTTCCTATCTAATCTTTCAAGTTGTTGTTGTCAATTTTACCTAATACAATTCTTAAAAGAGCATAATAATCACATTTTTTCACTAGTTAAGCTAAACTTTTGTTTGGTTTTAAAAAGATTTCAAAGGATATGTTTGGTTTAAAGTTTAAAGATGATCTCAGGGCAATACTTTCAGGGGTTCATCCAGCCTCCATGGCTCCAGAAACCCTGGAGTCCATAGAATTTGAAATTCTGTCTACATCTTCCCCCTTTTGATCAGGATTCTGCTATAGAATCTTTGATGGCACTTTATACTTAAGTGCAAGCACTTTTTATGGGTATTATCTCCTCAGTTACAGTATTAACTTGAGGGTGGGATTTGTGATGTGTTTCATTATTTGTTGCCTGTCATAATTAACATTTGTTATTTTATGGCTTTCCTTGTTCTCATGTAATTACTCTAGTTTTCTTTTGGAGTTTCCTAATGGGATTATTGGGAGCTCTGGTAGCATAGTGGCTAAGGCACTTGACGGCTAACCAGAAGTCTGGCAGTTCAAACCCACCAGCCACTCCTCGGAAGGAAGATGGGGCAATCTACTTCCGTAGTGATACTGCCTCGGAAACCCAAGGAGGGGTCACTATGAGTCGGGTCCGATTCAACGGCACATAACAACAACAACAATAATCTTGTAACTGGAGGCAACAGAGTTAAGGCTTCTATCTGCTGCTAGGTCACTTTGAATCCTTTCAGGAAAGCGGCGAAATACAATTAACAATCACCGCCTCCCGCCTTGCGCACACAAGAGAACTCTTCCACTATCTGCAGATTTCTGTGTCCCTCGGCCTCTAGATCTATTTATCTGGGAAACACGGGCCTCAGCAGGTAGCCGAATTATGTACTGGGGCGTCAGGCCTCCGCGCAGTGGCGCCCTAAAAACCTCCTGAAAAGACTTCCGCAGAGAGAGGATCAGATATGTAACCTTCACCTGTGCAGATCTTTGGGACAAATAACGCAAACAAGCGTACAATCCATCACCAAAATCAGCACGCAGGAGACTTCTTTCATTTCAGCGGGGGCGGAAGCGGAAGTCCTTGAAGGACCATAGAGTACACCAGTTCCGGCTTCGGCGCCGCGTTCCGGGCTAGAGTGCCTCTCCTCCCGCTGTTCCCCAGGCCCCTGAGGCTTCTATTTCCGGGTACCTCTCTTGTCATAAAACGGAGACCTCTGCTCAAACGTGGCGTCGAGGGTTCTTCTCGCCTCGCCTGGGGTCAGCCAGCAAGGACGGGAGCAGACAGGGGTACTTTATAGCCAACAACTGGACCCAGTCCTCTTGTACCGGGCCCGCACTGGCACCTCTGATTCCTCAGGATTGAGGGTGTACCCGATTTGCAGCCTCCAGGACGGCAATTCAGAGGATAGCGTTTAGTCGCCCCTATCTTTTCCCCAGTTACGCCCATACTTGTGAGGTGCAGCATTTGCGAGTCACCCCTTCCCCACAGACTGCTCTCATCCACCTCCGAGTTAACTTCGTTATCAATCTTTTTATTTGAGAGATCCCTCTTAACGCTTCAAGAGGTCCCCCGTCGTTGCCCCCCCCCCCCAGTTAAATCTCATCCTTTTAGACCATAAATTTGAGTGCCGACATCCGGCAGAAAAGTTACCTTTAAGACTGAGCACTCATTTGGTCATAAAGAGGTTCATGCTCACCACAGAGTCCGTGGGAACAGTGAAGCGCAGTAAACACAGGAAACGATGGCTGAGCATGGGGCTCACATCACAACTGCTTCTGTGGTGGATGACCAGCCATCCATCTTTGAGGTGGTAGCACAGGACAGTCTAATGACAGCAGTGAGACCTGCCCTTCAACATGTGGTCAAGGTAAGGTATTCTCTGAAAGATTTTAGGGACAACTGAATGAAAACCAAACTAAGAATTTGTTTAGTTCGTAGCCTACAGTTTGAAATACTAACTAGCATGTAATTCATGTCCTGTGATAGAACTGTTATTGAATCTCTGTTCTGTGCAGTCGTTAGGGTAGACTCCCAAAAGATTAAGCCCAAAGTGAATTTAGAGATCAAAGGAAAAGTAAATAGAAGGTATGGTAGCTGTGTAACAGAATGGATTTCATTCATTGTTTTTGTTCTTACTTTAGGTTCTTGCAGAATCAAATCCTGCCCACTTTGGCTTCTTTTGGAGGTGGTTTGATGAAATCTTTACTCTGCTAGATCTTCTGCTTCAACAGCATTACTTGTCTAAAACTAGTGCCTCATTTTCTGAAAACTTTTATGGCTTAAAGCGGATTGTAATGGGGGACCCACACAAGTTTCAGAGATTGGCCAGTGCTGGTCTCCCAAAGCAGCACCTTTGGAAATCAGTTATGTTCCTTGTTCTTATTCCCTATCTGAAAGTAAAGCTAGAGAAGCTGGTTTCTAGCCTGAGAGAAGAGGATGAATATTCTATTCACCCCGCTTCTTCCCACTGGAAACGATTTTACCGAGCCTTTCTGGCAGCCTACCCATTTGTTAACATGGCTTGGGAAGGTTGGTTTCTTGTACAACAACTTCAGTACATCCTAGGAAAGGCTCAGCATCACTCACCACTGCTGAGGCTAGCTGGAGTTCAGTTAGGTCGACTGACAATTCAGGACATACAAGCTCTGAAGCACAAACCAGTTGAAGCCAACATGAAACAACCACCAGCCAGGTGAGGCCTTGACATTTCAAAAATACTTTGATTCATATATTTTAAAATCTTATCCCAACTTTATGAAATTAACCTCCTTCAGTCTATTTTGGGTTATTTCATAAAATCATACAAAAAATAATTTGTTTATAAAACAAGTATTGCAGACTCCATCAGGGTAACTATCCTCCTCATTCTAGCTACTTTTTGTTGCATACTTGCTATGTGCCAAACCCTGTTACTGTTTGCTTTACATACATCACCTCAGCCTTCATCACAATCCAATGAAGTAAATGCATTGACACCATTTAACTGTTGAGGAAACTAAGCCCTAATAGGTTAAGTACCTTGCTAAGGCCACATGTACAATGTGGCAGAGTTGAGGTTCAAGCCAGATCAAAAAAATTCTTAAGACTGTGTTCTTAACTATAATGCTATGCTACTTCTAGTGTTTGTGTTCTCCTACAACTTCACATGTGTATATTTCTCAATATTGCAGTTATTTTTAGGGGAGTGCTTTTCACAAGTTCACATGTGCAATATTTCTCAATATTGAGGTTATTTTTAGGGGAGTGCTTTTATTATTAAAAGCAAAGTCTAGCTCCTATACTTCTAAAATACTGTAAGTCAGAAAGAGGGAATCATTTAGAATAGCTCCTTAAGGGGACAATGCCAATCTAGTAACTACTCAATTTCAAATCTGTGATTCTGATGAACAATATAAGAACAACATTTATATTAATCATTCTGTGATTATAGCTAAATAAAGTTTCTCCCTTTGATACCTTTTTCTATTCTCCCAACAGTGTTAGTAAGAAGATAAAGGCAACCCTGAAGAAAGCTGTGGGAGGTGCTGCCTTATCCCTCTCTACGGGGCTTTCTGTGGGTGTATTCTTCCTGCAGTTCCTTGAATGGTGGTACTCATCTGAAAATCAAGAAACCATCAAATCATTGACTACCCTGCCTACTCCACCACCACCTGTCCATCTGGACTACAACTCTGATTCTCCTCTACTACCCAAAATGAAGACTGTGTGCCCACTGTGCCGTAAAACCCGGGTGAATGATACTGTACTTGCCACCTCTGGCTATGTGTTTTGTTATCGCTGTGTGTTTAATTATGTGAGGAGTCACCAAGCTTGTCCCATTACAGGTTATCCCACAGAAGTACAACATCTGATTAAACTGTACTCCCCTGAGAACTGAAAGTAATTAGCATATCTCACAGCAAAACTATTGTACTGTAAGGTCACAGGGCTGATTTTTCAGCATACTACACAGCATTATTTGATACTTCTCAGCCTTAATTCATAATTATATGAATTTTAAACAACTATACAGATTCCTTAACAAGGATTACTCACTTGATCTTAAACTCTTAAGCCTGCTCTCTAGATCCCTACTTACGGTTGACCAAGATAGTTAGAGTATGAAAGTCAGGATTGGCAGGGGAAGTGAAGGCCAGTGTAAAAGAAGTAAACTAGTACCAAAGCTTTTCCTGTCTCTTTCCTTAAAGAAAAAGAAGTATAAAAGCTCTCAGGAAGAACCCCAAGTTAGATCTCAGAAGTGGGTGGGGAGTGGAAGCCTTCTTGGTTGAGAACACATTTACCTGCCAGCCAATGAGGTGGACGTTTTGCCAGTTTGTAATCTGTGAAACACAAGCCTGTCCTTTATAGAAATACTGCTTTAGAAAAACAACAGCTCCTTCCACAAACTGTGACCCATATAGTTTACCAACTTTTCAAGATTTCTTTATGAGCCATACATATCTTTTGGGAAACTGGTTAAAGGAAAATAGTGGTTGAATGTTTAGAGTAGTCTGAAAGTTTCTGTGTGAAATCAAAGCTAACAAGCAGTGAAGAGATAAAGGGACTGATCTAACTTTGACTATAAGGTCTTCTGATAAAGTCTTTTTGCTTCCTGTTTTGTTAATGAGTTTGCTTAAGTGGCATGAATTATTCTGCCTATTACTGAAGTCTATGAAAAAGTTCTTCAGTGAATTTTAAGAATAAATGTTTCTGGCAAAGAGCTGTCCCATGTTATGACTATAGAAACTTAATGATTACTTGAAAATTTAAAATTTTCATTCATATCACCTTTGACTTTTTTGAGATTTTTTTTTTTTGTACTGATTAACATTTTGCTTTCTTTGTTAATCCAACAAATGGAACAAAAACCTCTACTCAAACAGTAAGAATTCAGTCTTGTGTGAAATACCTTGTATCAGAAATACTTCAGAAACGGTTACATGGACTGTGAAGGGAAAGTCATGCCACTGGATTGGCAGTTTGGTGAAAATACATGGGGGGAAAAATCATCATTTGTGAAAGGAGAAGGATGAAATTAATTTGTAAGTACTTCTGCTGAGATAGGTGTTTTCTAATACTTTTAACTAATTTTAGCAATTCAAAGCACATTCTCTGATGGCACAAAGGTGATAAATTTTAGAATGGAATATCATACGAGTTTTAAAATATTAAAACATATATTACAATAAAAGTGAGTATGGATATTTGGGGGGGAAAAAAAAAAAGATGCCATCAAGTCCCTTTGGGCTCATGGCCACCTCCTGTGTTAACAGCAGAACTGTGCTCCACAGGGTTTTCTCAGCGTCATCTTTACTAAAGCAGGTCACCAGGACTTTCTCTCAGAGCTGCTGAGCAGGTTCAGATTGCCAACTTTTAGGTTAGCAGCCAATCATAAACCATTTTTGCCACCCAGGGATTAAGAAGTTTTATAAAAACAAATACCATAATTAAACAAAACATTTTTAATACACTAGAAAGTCAGTGAGGGAATTAAACCAGGTTCAAGATTGAAATGATGTCATCCTCCATGAAGATTTCAAAGCCACAACCTAAGAAGGAAAATGTGAAAGTATCAGCAATTCAAAGAAACATGCCAATACATGATAAAAAGCAGTATTGAAATAGGCTGGAACACATCAGCGTGGGAAAAAAACAACAAAACGAATCAGCTCAGAGAGAAGATTAAGGGATCATACCCTGGTCAAAGCCAACACTATAGCAATGGCAATACCAGGTCAGACTATACTTCACTCATCATCGCATCATGGCAGGCCACCTCGTAATATCTAAGTACAGCCCATTGCCCTATTATCACATCCAAGAAAATTTAGAGTTACCTATGAAAAAATAAAACTTTCAAAGAACTTTTAACCATGGGTTTTCAATAAATATTTTATCTTCTAAGCTTTGTTTTAAGCATTTCTGCTACACAAAAATGCAAACTTGCACTTTTTTTAAGCACAGATGAGAATGGATTAGTTAAATGCTTATTTATTAATTATTAGCTAAATTACAGTTCAAAAACATTTTTTAAATGAGCCCAAACATCAGACATAACAAAATTTCAGGGATGTTTGTAAGGGATTTATAGTCTAGTTTTAAAACAAAAGCTTTATAAAGATTTTCTAATACATTCCTTTCTAAATTCATTTAATATATAATTCAATTTACACTTCCGCTGCTAACAAATATTTAAAAGTAGTCATAACATTTTTATACAGGCATCTTCTATTTAAGAATCCAAGACCCAGAGAGGCTAAGGTCCATAACAAATTAATGGCAGTGCTGAGAAGAAAACTGAGGTCTGATCTCCAGTTTTGTATTTTCCACTATCAGCTAAATACAAGGTTTAATTTCATTTTTCTCCTGGCTCCGACACTTAGACTTACCGATAAGGGAGGCCATGGGCAAGACAAAGAAAGCAGGGCGAAGTTTGATTAATTCACAACTTGTACAATAAATTTCTAAATGAGAAAGTTGACTGCATTCCATTCTTCTAAATGCCACCTTCTGGTGGTAGGGTATCACTGACATGGAACAGTCCCAGGATCTCTAGACCTTCAGTATGGTACTGTCAGTGTCTGAATAACTATTCTGGAGACACCATATGCTTCCTTCACTGACACAGTTAAAAACTGACAGCTATTGCTCTGTGATCTCCATGCGGCAAATGAGCTCCATAAAGAAATGGAGTGCCTATGGTATAAGGGTTATACTTGATCCCTTTACCTCATCATCCTCTACTTGTGAAGTAGCTACTAGTTACAGAGCCTCGGAGAGCTTAATTTAAGGTTGGGCAATCTACTTCTGTAGTGATACTGCTTCGGAAACCCAAGGAAGGGTCGCTATGAGTTGGGCACGACTCATCAACATCTAACAACAATATCATAAAACTTGTGATCAGAGCCAAGATCTACAGAGACCTGATTTTAAAGCCCATGTTTCTTCTACCAGACCGTACTGCTGTCTCAGTGGGTTTCATGCTCCAGTTTCTCTCCCATCCGACATACTCTGAATATCATACACATATTAATTTGAATCACTGAGGTGTGATTATATTACTCAGAAGCATTCAATGGCTCCCCATGGCCCAGGAAATAAAGCCCAAACTACTCTGTCTAGCATTGAAGATGTTTCAAAACACTATATCCCTAACTTGTACCTTACAGTCCAGCCAACCAGACTATGCTCTGGCCTTTGTGGCCTCCATCTAGAAAGTCCTTCCTCTCCGTAGAAAATCTTCCTGTACTTCAATCCTACCTCTCCCTTTGTGACACTCTACAATGCCACCTTTTGCATGAAGTCCTTTCTCTAACAATCTAACAGGAAACATTTGTCCTTCCTCTGAATTACAGAAGTACATTGCCTGTACCTATGGTGTAGTACCTATTTCACTTTGTTGAGTATTTGAAGATGGAGACATCCTACTACAGAATTCAAGGTCCTCAAAAATCTATCCCCTGCCTACTTTTCAGCTTCGTCTCCAGCCACATACAGCACTTGCTTTCCAGTCCTCTGTCTTAGCACATTTTCCTCCGCTTGGAATGCCTTCCCTACCCCTTTCAATCTGAAAAGAAAGTAGCTAATGCTTAAAACTTTACCCAAATGCCACCTTCTCTGTGAAGTGGTCCTTTAGTCACTCCCTCCTAACTCCCACAGCACTTTTTTGTAACACAACAGATCATGATACTCCACTATTCACCCATTCTTGTGTCCCCTTGCCTCTCCCATCAGTCGATCACATTTCGTTCCTAAGGAACCAGGGATGTGTTTAACTGGCCTTTGGAGATTCAATAAACGAGCGTTTAACTCAATCACTGAGCGATTCCCCCAGTCTGTTAAACCCTAAACTCTTAGATTACAAAATCATCAGCTAATTCACCTCCAACGTTGGCAGCACACCTCAACTATCTACAAGTTCTCATTCCCCTAGTCTCCACCTCACCGCGTTCAATCCAGCACTCTATGCAAGACAGCCAATGCTTACACACATTAGGCCCTCAATAATAACAATAACAAGGGCCAAACTCCGTCAACTTCAGGAAAGACTGAGAAGCTGTCCTTGGGGAATCCGCAAATGAGGCCTGAGCCAGAATTCGAACCAAAGACGCACAGAGAAGTCCGTCGTCTACTGTCCGAACTCCTAAAACTCCTACGTCTTAGATTCCTTTAGGAATCTGACACCGCGGGCGAAGAGTAATGGCACCCAAACTAAGCAACCTTCCATCCCCAGCA